AAAAAAAACAAAAATAAATACCCCTCCTATTCATTATATACTTGATTACGCGTTGGTTATATTTTGGCTAACTGTCACTGAGGAATTGGCCAATTGTAAAGTTCCTTAGATTGGCTACTTTGGCAGGCATGCTGGTAGTAGTGGATTAATGTATATATATATATATGTGAGTCGGAAAGGCAAACAACACTGGCACATATGAATCCAAGCTTCATTGTGCATGTTGAATTCCAATGTGCACACAGAGTGCGTGACCCCCTGGCACGCGCACTGGTTGCTCACGATTATGCTAGCTGCTAGAATCTACCCACCTCAATCGCATCGGACAAACCATGTGCCCAGTCGTAGGAAGGGTAGATTGGCCACTGGCAGGACATGGCTTGACCAAACCCGCAGTGGCAAACAACCACCAGGGGAAAGCAAAAGAAAGGCAAGGGAACATGTCTGCCTCATTGCCAGTTCGAGGATGAGGTGTGTCAGGAAGAATTCGGTACATGATGGGATCCCGCCTCAGCTCCAGCGCATTACATCACATCAAGTCCACTCTGACTCTTTCCCTGTGGGCCTGGCATGATGACATTTGGATGGCTCATGTCAATCTTGGCCCGCAGCACTGCAGACCCCTGTGGCCAAAAAAACAACCAAGCGTCCTATAGTATCTAGTATCATACAGCTTCAACTAAAAGATTCTATATATAGTGTTGCGTCAAACACTCCACAGCATACCATGCCGGTATCTACTTCTCTACCATGATCAATGATAATCTATGATCGCATTATATTGCAGTATCAGTATCGTTGCTGAAACCTCAAAGCATCGCAGCCTGGGCCATGCCACCCGCCCTCATTTGGCGAAACAGTTCCAGGCCTTGGTCGACCACATCTGCGAAGCCCGACCCGGAGGATCGCTGCAAGTCTGCGAGGCAAGGGACTTTCTTCCGCCGGCCGGTCCCGGAAGGGACTGTTTTTGCCCGGCCTACGACTCCACAAACGCAAGACCTCCAACCCAATAGCGATGGCCTCCAACCTACTAGTAATGAACCCTATATTTTTCAATCTATATAATAGTAATGGCCTCCAACCTAGAAGCGCAAATGAACAATAGCACACAAAACTCATCAGCTATTCTCTCCGTTGCTTCTTCGCCTTGTCACTGAGCCTCGATATTCTGAGATGTCCTGCGTTATCTGGCATTGGAGCCATCAAACATCGTCAAACACAAGCCTTGCAAGTCTCAGCACATTTGGTGATGCATACTCCTCTGCGCTGAGTTCATCTACATAAGCGAGTCCTGCAGGGGTCTGTTCCACATTTCTGAGCAGTGCAAGGATAAAACAAAATGGTCCTCGGTCGATAAATGCCTTCATGCAAAAGTTCCAAAAGTGAGGTGCACATGCCAGGATTCCAAGAAACATCTTGACAGGCCTCTCCCCATCTGTACAGCTGCTGAAAATAGTCAGAGGCATACCTCTCCTTGTTGCTCCAAGTGGCAGTCGGAGCACACAGCGATGCACACAGCGATGCACACAGCGATGCGCAGCGGAATCAGAGTTGCTGTGATAGGTTAAGGAAGTTTGTTTCTTGTTACTAGTAGCGATGCCAGGAGCCCCTAGTAGCGTCCTTGCTCCTAGTAGTAAGGCCAGGAGCCCCTAGTAGCTTCTTGTTACCCGTGAAGTTTCCCTAAAAATCTAGGAACCAAATCATTGGTGCGAGCGCTTCTTCAAGGAACCGTGAGCTATCCTGCATCTAGTTACTAGTAGCTTCTCCTTGCTTAATTAACTATATAGTAGGCGCCTACTTAGTTACGTGAGGAGGCAGGGCCATGGGCAAAACTATAAAGAGTAACCCTTGTAACAAGAAGCTACTAGGAACAAGTGCATCGCTTCTAGTAACAAGTGCCTTCCTAGTAACAATGTTCGCTATTTTTCTTTTTCAGTAACCACTCTTGTTGCTCCAAGAGTCGGAACCATCCCATTCAAATCCAAGCCACCTCTGCGACACTCGTGGACCGCGACTCGCGACTGGCGACTCGACTCCGATTTTGTGCGGCCAAACGCCTCACATCTTCTTTGATGTTGTCAATGTAGACCTTCAAAACACACAAGCAGTTATGCTAACAAGCTCTATGATTAACTTGCAATGCAGTTTGTTTCATGTTTTTTGTCAGGCCTGCTTTTCACTCTCGGGATTGGTGTCATCGAATCGGAGGTTGCAAGAGCCCCCAAACTTCTCTGCCTAGGCGGCTGCAAGTACATCTGCTTGTCTTTCCATGCCAGCTAAGATGCCAGCTATTCCAAAATTGAGGCAAATAGACTTCACATGGCCTTTGCCAGACTGTCTTCCAACAAGGATTACACTCTGTTTTGAACTTGATTAGGTCAACTAAAGGCAGGACCTATGTGAAGGAAGCCGTTGGGTTCAGGAGGAAAACGTGTTCTGACTCGACCTGGGGAAATGAAACAGAATGACAAACGCTCGGCACTTGAGTCAAGTCATGGCCTTGATACTTCTTCGTTTTGAGGTCCGTCAACACAATGTCCTGCAGCTTCAGGCGAACAAACAGTCTGAAACATCCAGATTCATTGTGTCCGGTTGTGTTTTGTTGCATCGATTTGGTGTCCAAACCTCCACAAAGTTTCCAGCTTCCACACCCTCTTCTGCCGCCTTCCACAAGTACATCAGCAACTTGCAAGGTTTTGAGATTAGATCTGGAAAAATAGACATTCGCTCAAATTCTGAACCTAAAGGGTTCACATTCTCATTGCCCAGCGCCTTTAAACTTGCATTCTTTCGAAAACTACCTCAAAGGAGTTGAAAGTAACGTCTGGAAACGGACGGACTAGTTCTCATGAGGATTGGATGGAGTGGAAGCGGAATGAAACAACTCTCTCTCTCTCTCTACTATATGAACCGAATTCGGGCCTTTGTTGAGCAGGCTGCGCGATCTCCAACCACGTTGGACGCGGCAGCCGCCTTTGCACAAATGATCATTCTATGCAATTCAATCATTTACAGCCAAGGCAGTCGCTGAAAAATATCGCAGTGCAAACTACCTGCACAAAAACACGGTATATCAATGTATATCATTTCAATTTCTGCATTATGTCACTGCATGGCATGAACATGATCCGCTCGGACAAAGGCCGATTCAAACTACTTCTGTGCCTGGGAAATTCGATTGGAACGTGGCAAACTTGCTATCCTGAAGTCGCTTACAAGTCAGAAATGTGCCGGCTGTCATGTTGGATGTCTTTGGACAGTCCGACCTGGCTTTGCCACCTTTACATGTGGTGGGCAAACCTCAGCCGCAGAGTTCAAACAGAGTCAACCAACTCTGTTATGTGGCCGAGGGGTTGGCAAATTCGCCATTGGGAAAATTGAGGTGATCTTGCCAGCATGGGTTTTGATCTATGGTGCAGGATTACTGATAAACAAATTGCAAAGGTGTCATTTGTGGACATGCGAGAACCTCAGATAATTTATATACATCGGCCAATGAACAACTTGACCTACTGTCCAACCAAAAAGAATGACTAGCATGTTTGCTGATGCTGTTAGTATTCCTTTGAACTTCGAGCCACCAATTTTAAAACGATAAAGGTGTACGTCCTGCCCCCCCACCTTCATTAAAGAACACAAACAGCAAAGCCATGCAAGGGCCAAACCTCGGCCACTGAGTGTGCAGAGCCGCAGCCACTAAGTGTGCAAATGGCAGCAAATCAAAACATAATGAAGCCAACATTAACATTAGATTTTGAAGTGCCACATGTTTTTTTCGTCACGACTGACAGAATCTTCGACTTTTGGATGAAATCCTACGCAAAGCAGCAGTGCTACACCCTGGACACCACGGTCGCGGAGTTGCTTGGCTTTGCACTGTGCAGTTTTTTCCGGTCTTTGCCAGAACTTTTGGTCTTGCTCTTTGGCAATCCCTTCACGGAAGCGTGGAGTGTCCTCTTCAAAGAACTAGGGTCGAGCTGTTGATCTTGCTCCAAATGTTCGGCTAATTCAGCGTCCAAGGCATCGAACTTGGCATCTCGACCGCACGTCCTCTCTTCCTTCGCATCCTTCTCTCTCGGAGTGTCAGATGCATCTGTCTCACTTTCCGTCTCAGTGTCTTGACTCACATCATCTGGGACAACAGCGGCAGCTGGGGCAGCTGAGGCTGGAGGTGGCAGCTCAATGTGCTTCATCAACGCATCGGAAGTCGTCTCTCTCTGGGCGCGAGGTCGCGTCTCTCGTTCTCTGGGTGCCTCAACCCCAGTTGTTGGCACTTGCCTCCCTAGAATCTGGGGAGGAACATCATGCGTTGTTCTGTTTGCTGTTGGATCTTTTGCCTTCCCATCTCTGAGTGAAGCCGGGTCCACTTCGACGTTTTGGGACCTGGACGGCGCTTGCCCGGACTCTGTCTCCAAACTCCGTGCAGCCTTCCGCAGCGTAGCCTCAGAATCCTTCGAGCTTCTCGAGCCTCTGCGCGAACCACGGGCAGAGAGCAGTTTCAGCCGATCTTCAGGGTCTATCTCCGCAGCCAGTGAACCGTATGCACGGGCCAAATGGTCAAGGTCGTCATCCGCAGCTGACGTGACTTTGGCATAGTTTGGTTGCACATTGTTTCCCTGGGCCTTGCGGGATGCAAAAGGGTCAAGCCGTCCTCAGCGCCAAGAACGAATGCATCAAGCCTGAACTTAACTAATCTTAACTGTCATAATTCATAAACAAAGAACACCCTGTGCAAGGCCAAAGCATGTCAAAACAAAGCTATAGCTTGATGGCATCAAGCAAGGGACGGATGGGGGCCTGGTATCCTGTCAGCAGGATCCTGTTCAATTTGGGCTCTGTCGCTTCCACCTCAGTATGGGTGAAGCTCTTCCCACACCGAACTGGCGCTTCCAACTTGGCTCCTACCTCCAATGCAGGTCCAGCATGGGCTAGTTCCCTCAAGCCTAAGCATTCCAATATTCCAGAAAATGGTATGACTCTCAGGGAGAAAATGTGCGAAATACCGTGACGGTTATCAGCTTCCTTAGCATTGTTACAATCTATCCAGCAGTTGGTAGGCCACAATAATCTTTTGGCCGGCATAAGAAGGAAGGTGCATGACCGATGATGAAGTAGCCTTTTTCCATGTGGGATGTCGGTCTGGGCTCTCGGGCGGCTTCTGCGAGAGAAATCATGACAGCAGCAAATTCCAGCACAAATGACGACACAAAATCCTGAGCTGGTTCTAGTGGCAAACAGTAGTCAGTAGTTGCAAAAGAACTGGCGTGGCCACTTTGCTGGTTTGACACAATCAAGACTTTGCTCTTTCTTCCCATATGTTGGAGTACAACTTTCACAGGGAAATCATTCTTCAGAACCTCCTGTATCAGTCCTGAACACCCCAGCGCCAGCACCAGGGCTTGCCTCAAATTGCACATTCATCCGAGGCCATCTAAGCTCCATCCATCCCATCCGTTCACCAAATCCAATCCATCTGGCTGTTTCATCTCCCTCAACCCAGTCCATCGAGCTTCATATGAAAACCAACGGGATACCAAGGGGAAAACCATCCAAGGAGTCCCACCCGCGCCTTTTTGCAGTGGAAAGCAGTCGAGCCGGTTGGTGGTCTACAAGAATCTGCTTGGGGATATAGAATAGCACATACGGCACACATTTTTCAACTCAGAAAGGTGTGTATGTATATATATACAGTCATATATATATAATACATCGATAAACGAGTTTGGACATGCATCTGTATATAGACATAGCCATCCCCGTATAACTTGAATTGAGTGGCTCATTTGCCATTGGGGCCACAGTGCGCACGGAGACCCAAGCGCAACATCTTGGTTTGTGAAACGCATTCTTTCGGTGTCACTGTGGCAGTCAATCGTTGTGGCAGGATTCTCACGCTTCTGCCGAGTGAATAGTTGGAAGAAAAATACTGGTGCTGACATGGCATTGTAAGACGTAGTAAAACCAACTATCTTTCAACCTGTCGCTCTGTCCTATTGAACCCTGTCTGAGGGTCTTGATAACGGGGATCAGGATCAAGCTCAGCCATGATGGTAAAACATGAGGCCACATGATTCCAATTTTCATGGCATGCAAAGTTTGCTTTGTGTTTCCCCAGTGTGCGTTTTACAGACCCTTTTCATACCGCGGCGCGTCAATCCTTGGACATTAGTAACTGGCAGCCACTGAAGGCACTTCGTTTCATGAGGTCCGCAATATTGAAGGCACTGCAATGAAGGCGCTTGAGAATGAAGCCTTGGCCGACAAAGTTCTCTATTTTGGTTCCCGACTCTAAGCCTTGGCCGCCCAGGAAGTTGGATGAGGGGCCTTCAAACATGAAATCTGGTGAATCAATTGTGAAAAAACTAGATTGTGGAGCACTACCTGGGAATGACAAAGATTCCTGTAAGCTTTGAACCCTCTGTTGGTAATCAATTCATCTGCTGGCTCTAAAGAGATCCGCAACTTACTTCCCAGCAGCTTGCAAGAATTGATAGGTCAAATCCAAAGAAGTGGCATGCCAGGTGACGGCACATTGGAACCAGACACCAAAAAACGACGAGGCGAGACAGGGCTCCGTTCTGATCCCATGTCACACAACTTGGGAGGAGTGCACCAGCTCCAGCTCCCTTTACGACTGCACCTGCGATGCCTTTGTGATGTTTGTGCTGCCAAACATGCAATAAGTGCGGAGTGGTATGGGCTCAAAACAAACGGCGCTGCCAGCGAAAGCTCTGCTTTTGCGATCGCGGCTTGATCAAGCTTCGGTATGTACCGACATGCATCACAACACACCACCCTGTACCAGCAACCGTCACTTTCCACATTGGGAGAGAAACGTGTTGGTGTGTTGCTCTTGCAAATTAAAGCATGGCGCTGCCATACTGTACAGTGGCCCAGCCACAGTGCATTGGCTCTGCCAAGCTAGATGGTGCCACCATCTTCTTTGATCGCTCCTTGCGACGTTCTCGTTGTCCCTTCCGTAGCTGCTTCCGGTGTTCCTCCGTCGCCTTCTCCTCCGCGGTCTCTTTCAAGCTGATGGTCTTTCTTGTGAGATATTCTTCCCACAACAGATTGCGCATGGCTTTGGTGAGGCCATCTGCGTGTTGTCTGTGAGTGGGGACCCAGTACAGCTTGAACACCTCCTGTTCTAGCAGATCCTTGGCCACCAGAAGATCCAGCGTAGTCTGGCGTTCTGAAGGAATCTGCCCTGTCGTGCGCATGTGGTCGTACAGCGACTTTGCGTCCGTAACGACGCCGCCGCCTACCCTCAGGCGTGCCCGCCATTCTGATCCAACCTCAAAGACTCCATGCAGCATCATGTCGGCAATGAGGCGGACGTAGAGGTGTCTGTCCACCGCGAGGCTGAGTGAACAAGATTCCGCGGCCATTGAACTCCTGACCACCCTGCTGCTCTTGTTTGTCGTGTAGTCCACTGCTGCAGCGGGTTGAGGGCCCTTCGAGACTTCCTCGTTTGTCAGGAAGTGCACTGCCCCAAGTTGTGACTTGCCGTCCTTCTCCTTGCCGAGGGACGTGTCAAAGTAAGTCACCACAAAAAGCTTGCCATGTATCTTGGGGTATGGAAGCACGGCACGACCTTGCTTTGCTTCCTCCTTGCACTCCTCATAAAGTTGCAATGCCGCCTTGTAGTCACCCATAGTGGCTCGTGTGGCATGTTGTGCCAACTTGCTGACCTTGTACAGCACCTGAGGCATCGATTGCTGACCTGGCCATCGTAGCCTCATCACCAGCTGTCTGTATGCTGTCAGCTGCTGTGGATTCAACGGAGTGTCATTCTTGGCATTGAGCTTCATGTCCGGCAATGCGATCTTGCTGATGTAGTTGGACATGTCATCATAAAGCTCTCCATGCCGTTCCTTGAGATCCACGCCCAAAAAGGTCAAGGGAATGGACTTCCACTCCTTGATCGTAAACATGCCATTGATATCTTTCTTGAGCTTCAGGAAACGATTGTCCTGCTCTGAACCGAATAGAAGGCCATCATCAACATGAAGATTGAGCAGTGCCCATGCTTGGGTGTCGTCAGAAGCCACGAAGCTGCTCTTGCTGATCGGCAATTCTTTCAACGGTGTGGATGTCAACAATTTACTCGCCCTCAAGTACCAGAGTCGAGGGCTTTCAACAAGACCGTAGGCTGAGCGCAAGATCTGCATCAGCTCGCCACCACCCACGGCTGGCTCTGCATCCACTGCTGGCAATCCCTCCTCAGGAGCTCGCACGTACACGTTGCGTTGTAGATTCTCTCCTGATAGGAAAGCTGTGGTCACGTCAACGGAGTATCCCTTCCAGCCGTTGTGAACTGCACTGGCCTTGGAAATCCTCACCGCTTGCAGCGTGGCCGTCGGGCTGTCACTCCTGAAATGGCCGAGGCCAGGATCACGGTGTCCGGGAACAACCAAACGTGACTTTGCAATCAGTGGTGCCAGCAGCTTGGTTTGCTTGTTGACTCGCACCATTCTCAGAGGTGCTCGAAAGATCTGATGACGAGGAATCTTGGCTTCCTCTGCTTTGGACAACCGCTTCACCACACGGTTGCGAATCCATTGTTGCCACTCCTTGGCATCAGATGCCTGGAACTCTGCCTTTTCCTTCTCATCAAAGTATTTGGGATCCAATTCCTTGCCGTTTTGCTTGAGCTTCAACACCATGACCTCTGCCAGAAGATGGTCATGTAGATCTTCCGCCCAAAGATGCTCACTCAAAGATGCGGCGTTCCTCTGGATCCAACTTAGCTTCGTAGAGTCCATCCGGCAACTGAATGTAAGTGGAGTGGTCTACCGTTGCTGGAGAGTCTTTCTTCAGGAAGAGGGTCATTCCTCTCCACGTGAATGGTGCCCTCCGTCTTGGATTCTTCAAAGCTTCTTCGGAAAACTCTTCCACCATGAACACATTGTCCGGTTCTTGCCCCATCAAAATTGTCACCCTGGCACGCTTGCGAGGTGGTCTCATGAATCGCTTGCGTGGGTGTCGATGAAGTCGTGCCGCTGAAATCGGAAGACCTGTCAGCTGTCTCAGCATCTCCACCTCATATCGGGTGATCCATTCATTGGCAGGGCCTGGAGACACAGCCGATACCAGTACTTGCATGAAAAGTGCCGTACTTGGTCGGGCTTTCTTCAATGGGAGTTCCTGTGAAGTAGGGGCTGACATCTTCCGTTTGATGCTATAGGGAACATCATCCATTAAACGCTGTCTTCGTGCCTCCGTCGGCATCTGTGCCCACTCTTGAGGTTCTGGTGGCCTTGGTGGATAAGGTCTCACAGTTGGTGAACTGTCTTCTGGTGTGCTCAGACCATCAGACTCGTCCTGAATAGGAACTCCATCTCCAGCTGTTGGGCCCTTGCTTGATGACGAGGGCGCTGCCGCTTCGGAAGGTCCTGGCTCAGCCAGAGGTCGTCTTGGTGGCGCTGCCACTGATGCAGGTGCATCTTCCAAGGCCAAACGACGCCTTGTAGCACGCTGTGCTGGCTCTGGTGGCGCCGCCACGATATCTGCGGGTGGAGGAGCTTGAGGATCCTGTGGTGCTCGAGGATCTGACAGTGCTGGTTGCACTGGTGGATTCAGCTCCTTTCTCTTCCGCCGCTGAGGCATTTGTGCAGGTCGAGGTGGTTTGCCCAATAGGCGTCTCACCGCCTTGGTGCCTCGAAGGGTGTTCTTGGCTCTCAGCCTTTGCGGATCCTCCGGAGGTCGCGGCTCCCGCTTCTTCCTTGGCCGTGGAGGAGGAGGTTTTGCTCTGAGGTCCTGGTATATGTTCGATCTCGTAGGATCCCTGAGCAACTCTTGGATATCCAGGACATCCTCCTTCACTGGTTCTGTAAGAGCAAGCTCCTCCGGCGTGGCTAGCCTCATATTCTCTTGGGCCAGTAAAAGAAGTCTGCCGCGCCAACTCACAAAGTACCTCTTTTGCTGCTCCTGGACAAGCACAGTGGCTGGGCCTCTCCATTGTCCTCTGCCGCTTGTATAGCGCTTGAATTGTGGAGTCCAAAAGTAGATCTGGGCACCAGACATGAACGGACCAGCGGAAGTCGGTGGTTTGCGCAGCAAAGTTCTGCGCAGTTTGTCCCGAACATCTTGCCGGATGAGCGCCACCCTTGCCGTTGTTCTCATCTTGTGTGCCCTTGCGACTTCGCTGTCAGTTGACAGTCCTTGAATGAAGCTCATGCCAACATCTTCAGAGTTCAAGCTTGGCCAGCGATGTTCAACACCGAAAACACGCTGGTTGGGTGTGTAGCCATCTCTGGTGACCGTGGCGTTCTTGGCCATCACTGCACAAGCAAGTGCCCTCTTCATGTCCTCGTAGCCAGTGATGCCATGCTCGTCCACGATGGCTTGAAACATCACACCCAATGTTGCTCCATGCCTCTCTCCTGCGCCAAGCTGCCATCAATGACATGGTGTTCGTGATCTCCCGGACATAGTTTCCCTTTCAGCTCTTCGAGTGCCTTGCTTTCCCCAGCAAGGATGGTGCGTTTCCTCATTGGCATGAAGTTGGTCGGGTGCTTCAAGCCAACTTGACATTGGTCAAATCGGACCTGTTCCAATCCATCAAAGGCTTCACTGATCTCTGGCGTGGGCCAGGCTTTCGATCCTGCCGGGTTTTCACCAAAGACCAAAGCTCCACGGTGGCGCTGCCACAAGGCTGCTCGCCGGGTAAAGGACAGTACTGTCCGACGAGCTTGGAGCCTCTTCCTCTTCAATGTCAGCTTCTGAGCCTCTGTTCGAACACTGATGTTCTGAAGTGGGCTCCATGGGCTACAGGGCCAAGCGATCATCAGCAAGTCTGGCTCGACTTCTTGGATGTAGCGCATTGCCTTGCCTTGGCCTGCC